CTAAACCTCTATGACATCTCAGCTAGCTTGTAAAGACATCCGTCATTCCACGCTTCACAAAATCACCGGCCCTTATGTTTTTAACCGCGCTACTTAGCTTCCGCCATTTTAATCGCGACCCCGGCTGTCGAGGGTCGTCTAAGATTTTCTCCAACATAAAAACTCTTAGAAAGGTCTTATTAAAGTGGCGCGTAGTTTCAGGGGTGTAATGTGTCATTTCCGATAAAAATTTTAAGGAAAATCTAAATTTAAATGTCTCGTGTCAAAGCTTTTTTAACATTTTTAGATACTGATGTACCTGATGTGGTTGACTAAATCATGTTGGTCCTTAATTGAAATAAACTAGCATCCAATCAAACCATGGGAACCATTTTTCATAAATTGGGTAACTTGACAGAATTATTAGGCGCTACGATTTGCTACTGGAAATTTGTATTAAGCACATAACATCGTCTTTATTTCTTGGCCAATTTACCATCCAGCAGAACCTCTCCACTTATTAATTATTTAACAGTTGCATAATAATAAAAATAATAAAATAAAGTATTCTTCTCAGAATACTAAAATATTTAGAAAAGCAAAGAAGGACTTTAGCTTACAAGGGATATCATACATTTCTTGAGAAATTACGCTAAGTCTCTGTATGCATAATGAGTAAAATCATATGCTTCATTTCACTTCAGTCATCCCCTAACAAGGTCCAGGAATGTGTCGAAAAACTCGAAATCTTTAGAACGACATTTCTTAGGCGGTGTGATGATACATTGCTGCAAAAACAGATGCTGTCGTTATTTGATGAATGGCATGAGGTGTTGAGGTGGAAAATAGTATCATTTGATTTATACTAATGATTTCTAAATATAATATCCTTTCAGACATATGTTATAAGCTTACTTAACATCAACACTTCGATGTCACATGTATTTGTAATGTACCTTATTTGCAACAAATAATTATACAGATATAAAATCGAGCTCATTAAAATTTCGAAAAGTTTATTTTGCTTATATGAGAGGCTTTTTTTTCTTAAATGATCAATGTATGCTTTAATTTTACGACACGCCACGTAAAATTACAGCAGGTACATTGATGCTTCAAAACCTACGAGCGATTTTTGAATGAAGATTTTTTGTAGCAGCTTCAAAAGTTGATTTAATTTGTTTTTATAACTTGTTTGAGGTAACTACATTGTTTAATATAATCTGTAACGGGAATAAAATAGGACGCGCCTGCGTCATTTATTGTAGAAGAATTGTAAAACATTTTTAAGTACATATATTATTTTAGACAAATAAATTGTATGTTATTGGGGTACTTTTTGTTTCTTAATACCTAAGTATGAATTAAACTCTGAATCGAAGAGCTATTACGACTGCTGTATCAACACAGGACACTAGAAACATCGAGTTCTGTAAATAAGGAGATAAATTGCGTTTACATCCATTACATATAAAATTAAGAATTAAACTCTATATTATTAGAACTTAATAGATAGGCTTTATGCTTTCTTCAGTGAGAGTTAGATGGAAGCCTATTAAAGTGCCTACGTATGGTATTAGTAATTACCTGTACGTGTAACATGGTGTTACGTAATATAACCGACAATTAAAACCTGTACAGTTAGCAAAGAACAATGACCGATTACTGCTCTAAATAGCAGGGACCGTAGGAAACCTTGAACTTCCTGCCATTCTACCGATGTATTCAAGGAACGTGCTAATTTGTATGTAAGAACTGCGCGGTGATAATGACCGCCATGTGACTGTACGACGTGATATCAAATGATACATTGTGCTTTTTAGTGTGGAAAGATGTTTTTCTAAATGTATTTGTTAAAGACATTTTATATAGTTAAGTTACCTACCAAAATGGCCCTTTGCTGGTATACACGAAAGCTGTACTGGTTTACATAATTTTAATTTAACAATAAAATTCAAAATTGAAAAATTATTTATTCACAATGTACACTTATGAACGTCCAAAAAAAAATGCTTCTAATTTTACATTTACTGAAAATTCTCAAATCAAGGGCGTAGAACGGAAGTGAAAAGCTGGCAATAAACTCTCCGCCAATCTATTTAATCGCCAAGTTTTTTGTTTTACACAACGTTTCTAAGGAGCTGCAACCATTACACCATAAAATAATTACGAAAAGGTACAATTTTCTATAAAGACAGTGAATTAGAAAACAAACGTTTAAAATATTACAAACTCTTAGCTTGAAAATTAAATACCTACAACGAATTCATTGATATAAAACAATCCCTCATACAAGATTTAGGTATTTATAAGCTATTTTAGCAAAGTAGATTCCCTAGTTGTCAAACACGATCGTGTCGTTCGAGCCGTTAAGGGGTCATCTCATTAGTCACTCATTCGCATGCGACCCGCGAGCTTTCAGTTCACTGAAACAACTACATTCTCACATAATGGCTTAATAAACGTAATTGATAATGCACTTACGGGTTACTGGGCTCGTTTGCTTATTACAATGTAGTACTATTAATTTTGTATAAGAGAAATAATAACTACAATCTATACAGCATCATGGCACGGCATCACGCGTGAAGGGGGGCTCGATTTTGCTAAAAAAAGGTAAAATATGTAATAGACTATACATACATATAACTAGATCACCACACTACATCAAAAAACTTTTAGAAACGGAGACAAGAAGAAACTGTATGAGCTAAACGTGTGTATGTCACTGAACTCCTCTTAAACGGCTGGACCGATTTGAATGATTTTTTTGTGACACACTGGATAGTTTAGTTTCACAAATCAGCCCGGCAGATGGCGCTGCAGTCGGTACTATCATACTTTGTTTCATATACTAATCGCTTGAAATATCATGCAGGACGTCTGTCAGTCCGCTAGTTACAAAATAAAGATCAATTTAGAATTTTGAGTAAAGCTAGTAACAACAACTTAGATGGAATTCACCCTTGCCAAAGTTTTTTGTAAAAAAATGTTTTTGTTTAATTAAGGAATCTTGATAAAACTTTAGAGATTTTTGTAAGTAAAGATACCTTTAGTAATATGTTGCATTATTCCAGCAGACAAGTATATTTTTGTTCGTAAGGCGATGTTTTCTTGAATTCAAACCGAAATACTGCAAAATCCGAACATGACAGTGTCTAACCAAGCTACGGAGGCAATTACACGAATTAAAATGATTAGCCATGTATTTCAAAGCACTTAATTACGGAAGTGTTAGTCGTGTGTCGTGACACCGAATATATTGACAGGCGCCTGCGCGTGCGCACAGAATATTGATATGTCAATAGTTTAATTGCCTTTAAATCATTTGAAACAAACGAATTAAACATGTAATAATGCGTGATACTATGTCAAACTGGAGCCTTCAGATTATAGATATAAGTACTTAATATATCTTGGGAACATTTACTTGTGTTTTAACTTATAAGAGAAAGGGCGATAAACCAAGTTGAATTGAATAAATATAAAATTATTTTAATCGTTTTGTATACGTAATAGTTTTTAACAGCATAAAGAGAACCTAAGTGCCATTAGCTAAGAAACCTGCAGATAAAAAATTCGCTTTGAAAGTCACAGATTCACTGCTCTAATATAATGGCATGTTAAATTCTTTGTTTACTTTAGAGCAATACTTGTCATAAATAGATAAAATGTAATTACTTCTTTGCTTTGATTACTTTAATTTAGTAGTAATACCTTGTTTCAGTAAAAGTTGGACACTTACCTGAAGATATAATAAAACACAAACTGATTTGAAATTATTTTATTATAATATTTTTCTTTCATACTTTCATCAATTTTCAGATTAAAATAGTCGATAATACGTACATTACACATTTATTTAACAAAAAAAAAGTTCCATAACCCATTATGTTTTTTATGACATCAATGTTTGGTTACTTCCAATTGATTTTTAACCGCCTTGCAACTCTTACCTATAAAAACTTATTTCTCTTAATTAAAAAGCAAGCTTTGTCAAAGCAAATTCGTAGAATCATTGCTTTAATCACGTGTATAGTTCGATTACCAATACTATACAATGTAACGCTTAAAAAGCGGCATTTCGAAATATTCTCTAGAAATTAAAAATGCTTTTACTTCTAATTACTTACAAAACTTGACGTTTAGCGGTTTAATTTTTTAAATTTGTATTCTTCTATAATATTAAAAAAAAACAACAATAGGTATATTTCAAAATAAATGGTTGTTTATGTAATACACTTATATGTTTTACACAATAATTTAGTTATTTTATCGTACAAAAAAAGTCTTTATAATATTATAACTAAATATATTAATATTGCACTAATGGTCCATAATGTCAACAGCCACTTTAGTTCATCTGCAAAAGAAAAACATTGTATTACATTAAAGGATATTTCAATTAAGAAATAACTCCCTAAGTACCTCTTTCAGAGTTAAAGTATATTGACGGCCACGTTTTTCAATAAATCTACATACACACAAACTATGAATGTTTATGGAGGATACTAAGCTTAAGCTTGCCTTGGGGAACGTACTCATACTACGTGACCCGTTGGGGGGGGGGGAACGGAGTCTTCAAAATGCCACGATTAGTAAAGATAAAGACGAGTATGAGCCAAATTATTATTTTTTTCAATTTTTGCCTGTGAAATGATTAAAAATCATAATTATGAATTACTCCATGAAACTAAAGGGGGAGAGGGGGGTCTTGGCATATACTACGAGTGGTCACCGAGGGGAGGGAGGGGTCGAAAAAACTAAAAAAATAGGTCACGTAGTATGGGTACGTTCCCTTATCTTAAAACACTGATTGCCTAAAAATATCATTTTCTTTAAAACTTTAAGTATTTGCGAAAGGAAAATTATTAATGTATAATTTATTTTTTAACGTCGTCGTGGGCATAAAATCCAATTATTTTCGTTAAATTAATGAAAACTAAGGTAAAATTAATTGCTAAATTAAAACAACTAATTTATCTTTTTACGTATTTAGAAGTAAAATATATACGCACGGGTCAGGGAGGTGGCGCCAATGGCACTAATAAAGGCTCACGGGGCCTGCGTGGGCGTCTGGAAGGGGCCCGGGGTGCCACCGTCCTAAGTCGGGGCCTCCCCGGACCACGCCGGCCGCGGCCTTCCGGAGCTCCACTTGCCTCCACAATTTCAAGAGGCATATCCGATTCCAGGAGAAGTGCACCTGAAAATAAAAAGCGCTATATTTGTAGCAAACTTGCATCTATTATATTAATAAGAAATGCTATTGCAATTCATAATTACCATTCCTTTTTATAAGTATTTTTTTTCCTTTTAAACAATAATAATTTATGTTGAAAACTATGGAGAGGGTATTTTTAAAATTATTTTTTTGGGGACTATAATTAAAATAAGCTATAGATTATTTATTTATTAGACACTTTAATATTTTATAGTTATTTATTTTTTAAAAATTAACATTTTTTTTTAGTTTTTTCTAAATTTTTAGACTTTTTAAATATAGGAAATATATTTCTATTGAAAGTTTATACTAAAGCACTAGAAGACTTACTACGACAAAGAATAAAACCTAATCCTTTTATAACAAATTATGAATAATGCGACCTTTGAGTAGTCAAGTACACTAGTAGTAGTGTATGTAGTTGAATAAGATTTCCAATACTTATATACTTTATATAAAATGAATAAGAAATTACCTGCAGCAATAGCAGAAGCAGTATCAGTGTGTGGGTCCGGCCTTCGATTAGCAATAGTGTGTCTAGATCCTCTCGGACGTCCGCGACGAGCGCCGCGTGTACGGGACATCGCCCACGCCCCACGGCTTACGTTCGTGTACGCTGGAAACGTATACGTATATATATTACAGTATTATAATCGATCGATTCTTAGTGTCGAAGTCAAAATTTAGATTTCTTTATTATCACAACTAGTTTGTCTGAGCGGAAATTGATCTTGCGTAGTGACTATGCGAACTAATATAATTCTTATTTACTACGCGTCATTTCATTTTTTCATAAAAATTATATATTTTTAATTTTATCATATTAAGTAATAAGTCATTTAGCACTGCAGTTACCTCACATCCTACAACGATTTACTTTCCGCACAGACTCCACTAGTTTATTCTCCTGCACATATTAGTACAGAACTATATAGTAATTTCGGCATTCTAAGGTCAGCGCCAATCGAACTGCGCGTATTATACCAGGGTCATCATGCTCTTGTAATTACTTTGGAATAAAGATGTGAACTACTACGCTTCAACTTAACCTAAGAGTATTTAACGAGGGCTAAAGCATGCCCTTCCTTTTTTAATCGTAAACAGTTTTACCAAGACTGTGAGTGTGAAGTAACATATTTCAAATCAGACAATATATTTTGTATAAACAGTTGGTTTTACATTCTTAACTATATATTCTATCCTATTTTTGTAGCTAATGCATAAATAGGAAATACTACTTACGAGAAGGCATTAAATTTGGCGCGTCCACCACTAAATCTCCCTCGTCATCGACTTGTAAGGGACTACCTGGTTCTGATATGGACTCGCGAGCGCGTTTTGCTTCACTATCGACAGGCTGGAACAATGCATTATTAAGTTAAATATATTTAATTTAAGAAAAAATATTAGGTACTTCACATAGTCACATAACATTTAGGAATTTTGACGTGACGTCTTATAATTCGATGGAGCCGGCTGCACGCACGAAAAAACATGACGCATGCGGCGTTACCTCTCTCTGAGGCGTTCCATTTAAGGCTTGACGTGCAAGCGAGAGCGCGGAAGGAGCGACAAAGAGGCACAATCGGCCTCCGCGTTCGGCAGCGTTCGTTCGTTAAAAAACTTACATAATTGTATTTACAAAGAAAATGTAACTTGATCAATTCAATTGTGATTTCCAATTACCTCCTTCTCTATATCCATACAAAATATCTATCAAACAAATAAAATTTAAATTTTCTTTTGAAAAATGCAACCATTCAATCAGTATTTTCTTATCGCGTTGTCACGATAGTTGATATCGTCAGTAAACCGACTCTACAGACAACCGATTTTTTTAGAACAACTTCTCTTCTCAAGACCAAAAGTAAGTACATTAAAATGATGGAGTTGTGTAATAAATTATATCCTACTCACCGCTGGCGCAGCTGGCAATATTCCCAATTTTCTTTTACGTTCTCTCTCTTCTATAATTTTCTTTTCTTCTGACTTTTGACGATCTGAAATAAAGCGATGTTCCAAAAAATAAAACAAGTCACCTTCAAAATAAATTGTTTTTTTTTTAAATAACTCACATTTAAGTTCAATTTCCTCATCGTCCAGCAACAAAGAGACAACTTCCTTTGGTTTGAGAGTGTCAGGTTTGAAGTTACCCCCGCTTATCACCATGCGTTGAATCTAATACCAATATTAAACAAATTGTATACATGACACCGGAAATAACAAAATCTGCAAGTAACAAAATTTCCTAGGAAATGTGGGCGTGAAATAATACTAATAATATCTCTCGTTTAGAATCCTACGAAAGTTTTAAAAATTTCCTAGAAATTTGTAAACTTGCTGATTTTGTCATATTCCGGTGACATATATGTATGTCACTATATATACGTAGTCGGTCCCAAAGTTCTGTCATAAATGGAAATAATGATAAAAACAAAAGTACTGATCAGTTTTAATGAGTGATATCAACTTAGTAAATTAATTAAGGATTAAAAAAGCATAAAAATATTCGAAATAACCTCCCTCATTTTTAATACAGGCCCTTAAGCGTCGCGGCCAGTCGTCTATCGCAGCACGCACCATATTCGTTCGATTTCAGTCCTGGTTTTTTTAAAGATGACTTCAGATTCTCCAAATTTTCATGAGGTTTATCACAGATCTTCCTCTCTAAGCCCTGTCATAATTTTCGGGTCCAAAGGATTAAGGTCCGGACTGGAGGAAGGCCAATCCTCTGTCTAATTAAGACGATGTTTTGCGCTCAAACCAGGCTTTAGTGGTCTTGGCTTTGTATGCAGCCAAGTCCTGCTGGAACACGAAGTGTGTCCCGCAAATAGGGTGCTGGACTGTCTTTGACAAGGCGTACAAACCGTCTCTTGGTACACTGTAGCACTGGTTTTGACCCCCTTTTCGAAAAAATTAACCTCAGTTAGCCCGTAATAGGACACTCCCAACCAAACCATTACTTATGATGGTGATGTCCATGTTGCACCCTTGGAACTTTATTTTCGCTTCTTCAGAACTCCTAGCGTACCTGTATAATTCTGTTTATTGTACTTCTCTTCAATTCGAAAAATTTTTCGTCCGTAAAGAGGATATCACGGTGTCGGTTTTTCGCGTACCGCTTAAACAACACCCGCGATCTCTTAGCCTTATTGCTTTTAGACGGCATTAAGTAAGTGCCCTCTTTTTTTGTATGCTCGTAGACCAAGATCTCATTTAACCTTTTTTACTGTTTTCCTACTGACCCCATCTGCAAATCCATCAACTTCTGTTTTCGGACAGGATTTCTTACTATCCGCGCCTTGTAGCTTTGATTACTGCTGTGTTCTTGCGGGCGTGGCCAGCCAGTTCTTTTCTTGTCCTCAACACTGGAGACTTCAAGGTACCTATCAATAGTACCGTACACAAACCCAAGCGTTATATTCAAATTTTTGAGCAACTTGAAAATGGTACTCGGCGAGTGTCCACAGCGGTGCACGCAATAACACTATTCGGTTTCTTTCAATGTCCACTCCATCGTGAAAAATTACGGAAAGTTATTGTTTTTTGTTTTAAAACAATAATCAAACATTCCAAAATAGATGCAATTTTTTTTATAAAATCCTGCTCGAAATGTAGAAATAATTTGCTAGTGACAGAACTTTGGGACCAACTACGTTACCAGATATATTACGTGTATTATTTTAGATCGAATTGTATGTTTGTGCTTTTGTGATTTATCCTATGAATATTCTTAGCACCAATAGATAATTTTTCTAGAGGTAGTAAACCAGCCGTTCCTCATCGCGATAAAGATGACGAATCAATTACAGAGCGCATTTGGTTTCCTAGGGACAGTTAAACTTTAGTGTACATATTTTGATGTATGTTTTCTATTTCTGTCCGTGTGTAATGAATGTTTTATTTGTTATTTATAAAGCCTCTTTGATCAGATTTAAAAAAAAATAATCTTTCCAAGCAAGATTTTATGATTAATTCTGTGTTTTTGAATGTGTATCGCGGTATGTGTTTAAAACACCATTTAATATCGAATAAATATGATACAGCCCAGTCAGTTCCTTACTGTGTATCTTTGCCCAAAACTTACCTCGCTCTTCTCCCTTGCGCGCTGCATAATGCGTTCTTCAATAGTTCCCTTACAAATGAGCCGATACACCGTGACCTGTTTGGTCTGTCCCAGTCGATGTGCACGGTCCATCGCCTGTTGGTCTACCGTTGGGTTCCAATCAGAGTCGTAGAATATAACCTATGGTGAATGGTGATATTAAAAGAATACTTTTTAAACACCTTAGAGAACTTTACCTATATACAATTCAATACTGCAATTTTTTATTAAAGACTTAAATAGTCTCAGGAACGAATCTCGCCCATGGCACAGGAATTTGTTTTACTCGACGTCATAAACCAGATCAAAAGCAGTAGGTATTCACTAAGTCCGAAGCCTGACTCACATTATTTACGGCGACATTGTTAAAAACAGACCTCTACCGGTATTACTTCAATACATAATATTTATTATATGCAAGAACCACTAAGGTTTAGTTTAAATTGGAATATAAAAAAATTAATAACAAATAATTGGAAAAAACAGAACAAATATCGTTTTATTTAGCAAACATTTTTATGTTGTTAGTTGTCTTCGAGCTATGCCTTATTAAGGGGTTAATGGTGGAAAATAAAAATTATTTTAACAATTTTCCACCGATAATACACGAGATTAAATATTCTGTTCGTAAAAACACTTACAGTATCGGCCGCAGTGAGGTTTATTCCAAGTCCCCCCGCACGAGTTGACAACAGAAATACAAATATGTCTGTCCGAGCCTGAAAATTACATTATTACACAATTAATATGAGTATTGATCACATGTATTGTAGTATTTGTAGTCAATAGTAGTTAGTATTGATACAATATACCGAAACAAAAGAAAATAGCGAAAGCAATAGTTTAAAGCTATTTAATGCACTAGTTATTTAGGCAAAAACAGTTTTGTTTTTAAATTGAAAGCGATATTTTTTTACACACATTGGTATGTCGAACAAGGGTATTCGCGTCTATTAAAATATTGTAACTTGAAATTTTACAATATTTTTAATCAACAAATATGTAGCGATTAAGCACACGCTACACTTTATTTAAATTACCTGAAAATCGGCAACCATGTCGCGACGGGCTGATATTTTACTGGAGCCGTCCAATCGCATATATTTGTGTTTCCTGTGCCACATGTACTCCTGGAAACACATCATTAACACACATTACATTTTACCTTAGTTTATAACACAGTAATATTAAAGCAATATCCATATATATTTATTAACAAAATAGCACTAAAATCGTAGAGAGTTACAACTTACCACTTTCGAAACGGGACTTATACAATTTAAAAAGATAATTTAATATAACAACTTACCTCTAATAAGTCAATCATTTTCGTCATCTGGCTATATATAAGGACTCTATGCCCTCGCGCCTTTAACTTCTTGAGTAGAGAATCTAATACTGTTAGTTTTCCCGCATCACTTACTAGCTGGTTCTTATCTGAATCAAATCAGTATTATTATAAACATATAAATGTATAAGTCATACTTGTGTAATGGTCACTTGAATTCTTTTCCGTATGTAATATTATGTATTAAATGGATTAGGCTAAGATTCAAAATCCAATACATTATTGACATGAGATTACTTAGAGTTATTTTGAGTTTTTTATCCGTTACCAACATATGCAAGTAGCTTTTAAATATTTGGTAACAATTTAAATCAGTATCTGGTATATACAGTTGAAAACATTAAAACTGTCAATCGAACAAATATTTAACCTGTACTGTACCTCATGAAGGTAAGTACAGAAGTCTTTTTTATAAGATAATTGTAATGGATTCACACTTTCCACTAAAATGAAAAATAAAAAGAAGATCTTTAACAAATATACACAAGATTTGTTACATTTCAAAAGTTTCTAATGCTTTGCCACAATCGTGGTCAACGAGAGACTGCCACATTGACATTTAAGAATTTAATATTGTTATTTAATCAGAATGAAAACTACCCATTCCCTCTCAAGTACCAAAATGCTGTTGAATTGACATGTCTTTTTCAGTAAATGCTTTGTCCATAAAATACATTTTATATAAATAAGGACCACTCCTTAATCATAGTAAATAAGTAGAAAGTAGCATAGTATAGGAATAAAAATACCGGGCACTTGCAGCGAAGCCCAGCCGTAAGGCGGTCGCGCGTTATCGACAAGTCTAGAGATAGTCTCGCTTCCGAGACGCGACTCACAATGCGCGTGTCTCGTCATGTGATACGCGAACGAACGTGAAACTGCGAACGCTTGACGTCTTGGCGCGCACACCTGAGGTATTATTTATCATAGTTAGAAATACACATGGCGTATCACCGAAATATATACCGTACAAAACAATTGTTTCTACTTGAAAGACTACCTAATTGCCTATAAATATTAGCGAAGCTGACGCCTTGATGATGAATATTGTGTCCCCTTGGTTGCGAGATTTACTGCGACTAGGTTTTATACTACATATGTACTACGTACTGGTTTTTACCTAGCATGTATCAGTGTAGACTTCTTCTCTTATTGTTATCATTATTATTTAATATATTTTTTTGAAGTGAAACTTCTTTATCGAGGTTGGAAAAAAATTTAGTGTAACATTTTTTCGTTACGCGTCACATTTTTCGGTTACGCGCTATGTTGCTTTTTGAAGACAAACTTCTTTATCGGCGTTGAAATGAAACTTCTTTATCGACGTATGGGAGAAATTTTGTAGCAAATCGTCACGTTTTTCAATGATAGTAATAATTCTATTACAATTAATGAAATTCTATAATAATCTTCGTAGTAATAAGGTAAAATGAAATATTTGTATTCATGTCTATGATAATAAAAGCCTTTTGTTAAACTTTATCTAATTTAACGAATTTCTGTAAAGTTGCATATAGTAGATCATTTTTCGAAAAATAAGATCATAAAGAAGTTTCACTTCTTACATGTGTACACCTAGTACACGCACAATTTTTTTTCATCAATTGCTTAAAACACCTATAATTGTAATGATGAATGGAAAATATTTCGTCGAATATGAAATTTATAATAAAACTCAAAAAGCGAGAAATATATGTCATATAATAAAAAAATATTAAGAGCCGAATTAATAAGTTTTCCGTTAATCGAAATTGATCTTTCAGATTTTTTTTTATTGAATTGTAACACACTTACCTTTTGCTGAGCAGTAAATAAGAATGCTGGTAACGGTGTGGGTACATCATTATATACTATAGAAGGTCTTTCCACGTGAGGAAATTCCGCCAATTCCACGGGCTGATTTTCCACGGATATCACACCTCCATCTTCAGTCTTTATCTCACTTAGCATTTCCGCCTGGAATGTACAGGTCTCTTTAACTTATAGCCGCTAACAAAGGTAACGGCAAAATCTGCTCATAACTTGCCATTGTATTTGAATTTCGTTACGAAATTTAATAATATTAAATACAGTATAAACTCTTTATAACGAATTTCAAGGGACCGAGCATTGTTCTTCGTTATAGAGAGGATGCTTTATAGGGAGGGAAGAATTAATGTATGGGTATTGGGTTAAATTATCTTACGGATGATAGTCGAGAGAATGGAGTGCCCCTATTTACGACACTGCTCCGACATCTCCGCAGGGCTTTGTACCTAATAGTTTTTGTTTAACTACTTTTTTCTTATTTTTACTTATTCTACTAACATAGATCTTAAGAAACTATTGTTACTAACTTACTAATCAATCAATGGACTGTATTTGTCTGATGAATAAAATTATTATTATTAAACCAAATAAATCTAACTAAATTTTACGTTATAGAGAGTTCTGCCTTATAACGAATGATGTTTTAAAGAGTTTACACTGTACTTGTAAATCAAAAATTATTTATTTTGTTCATTATTTCTGATCAATACAAATTTTATACATTTAATTTTTATTTAGTCCTGTTTTATGAATAGATATGTATTTTTTTAGCGGCACCAGTGTTGTTTATAAATATATAATCTGTACCTGTCCACTAGCTTCTTTCAGTTGTCTTCCCCTTAATGATCGATGTTCTATCGTCTCTGGCATATAATGTATTGTGTGATTTAAATGCGCGTAAAAAGGTCCACCTGTTAATTCAAGATGAAAGAATTGACTTCTTGCTACTAAACATACATTTAAATTTACATTGAATAAGTTGAACCTTTAATAATATATTTTATCATTTGAACTATCACTTAATATGTTTTTATTTGCCATATTGATATACAGTACTAAAATTTTTACTATAGGCCGCTACTATAATTACAACAATAAAGGGAATAACATCCATCTTCATGGATGGCATCTTTCTAGAGTTTTTAATATTTGAACATATTGAAGGAAAACATCGTGAAGAAACCAACATGTCTTAGACCCAAAAAGTCGACGGCGTGTGTCAGGCACTGGAGACTGATCACCTACTTTCCTATTAGATGTAAAAATGATCATGAAATAGATTCAGAAATCTGAGGCCAAGACCTAAAGAGGTTGTAGCGCCACTGATTTATTAATATTTGAACATACCTGGTATCCACAAAGGATCCGTAAATAACATATCCCTCCATAACAAGGAATCTTCTTTCCGCGTCTTAAGAACATCTCCATCGGGACATATCAATAGTAAGTGTTTACTGCTAACATTCTTATAGTCATGACAGTCGTCTGTGTACCACCATTCTTGTCTATGTCTTAACCTTTCATATGTTTCTAGACTTTGTTCTATGTGAAATATACTGTAAAAATTATATTTATCCTCAATTTGGTGTAAAGCGAAAGTTAGAGTTAAAAATTCAAAAGACAAACCCAACATCTATCTATCAGGTTAATCTATTATCAATCTTTAAAAACATATTAAAAAATCCCAGATCTTGGATATATACATACTTTCAATTTCATTTTGATTAGTTTTAGAATATGATCTACGATCATACGATCTATATACTCTACCCTATAGAAACAATATATTGTAAATGTTTATTATTATTTGTAGCCCATAAAATATTATACTTTTACTATTAATATTAAACTTTACTAAATTAAACATTATAACTTATTGTTAAAGATAATTATTATAAATAGATATTGTAGTCTATATGTACAATTTTTTTACAGCATAGTGTACAGATTTAGATACCTTCCAGAATGTGGTCTTAGCCTTTACGTTTTGGTATGTCAAAGTTGAACAAAAATAAATACCATATCAATATACGACGACTCATTGGTTAGTACCCCTGACTGCGAATTCGTGGGTCCCGGTGTTGTGCTTAGGTCTTGGTTGTTTAAAATGTATTTATATGTGTATCTATCTATAATATGTATGTATATCCGTTGCCTAGTACCCATAATACAAGCTTCACCAGCTTAGCATGGGACTAGGTCAATTGGTGTGAATTGTCTTTTAAAAAAAAATATATATTTATATAAGAGAAATATCATATGATTTCAAGTACAATATATCATTGAATTATAAGGTTAAAAAAGAGAAAAAAAGATTAATCCAAAGAAAATAAATACTTACGCATCGAGCCACCCACACAGCATCACCTGATAGATCTCCATAGGAGATAAGTCCATGAATCTTGTAAACGAGAAACAATCACTATTCACTTCACTAACACTCCTATGCACATAATCACACACTAGAACACTAAGTATATTGTATAACAAGTGGCGCTTTGATGGTATACACCGAAGTAATATACAGTCCTCAGCTATCACTTTTGGGACATTGTAGTCATCAACAAGCATTGCAAAAGGTGATCTTACATCACGTCGCTCGAACAATTCTGGGTGGTTGCAGACCTGAAAGTTAACAATTTTTAAATCCTTAAAATCTGTTTAATGTGTGTAAGAAATAATTACCAGTTCATAAACATAATAATGTATAGAAGCCTTCGAGTAATCATACACATTGAAACAATGACCTTGGCTGATATTAAACCTAATGTGTGTTGTTGTTGCCTAATGATTTTTATTTTATTTTTTCTACTTTTATTGTAAAATGTTTACATTTTCTCTTAATGATTTTTTAATTTAAATAACATTAAAAAAAAATGAATATGCAAATTATTGACACTGTCCTGATGTCTACGGGCAAAAACTTCTAGAGTAAGTTTTATATTCAAGATATGGCTTCCTTTCGACAAATCCAATAAGTCTTTAACATACACACATAGCGCCATGTCTCTGAATATTACCTCTTAAATCTTTTGGCAACAGAAAAAGAACAGAAATGGATAGAGCAAATTGTAAGAGAATGATTGAAAATCTAAAAAATTATTAAAATTCTACCTTTCTGAACTGCATAACTAAATTCATAAGATTTGAAGTGAAATTTTTGTCAACATTATGTCCAGTTTCCGATCCAATTGTGTAGTGCAATAGTTCTTCTATTTTTATTTTCTTCTTCAATGCTGTTAATTGAAAATATGTATTCGTTATTAGTAGTTCTATGATTAATTTACATTATTTTTAACCAATTTTCATAAACTTCTTCAGCTAAGTAAGATAATATTTTTAAAATTATTCATAGCGTACTTCGTAAATAAACATGGCGCAAGCCAGCATTAGTCAGTGATTTAAGAAAACATTGATAACAATTTTAATTATAATTACAATTACATTAAGTTTTATATACACTAAAATCTTACCAATATATAATAGTTTCTGTCTGATTGTCAAAGGGCAATGTACCATAATTTCTATTTTATCAGATAATTCATTTTCCACATCTTTCTTGATCCGCCTCAACATAAAAGGTTTTAATATCATGTGCAGCCGGGAGAGATGCTCTACAACAAAAAAAACATATTATAACAGTCTCACGAAACTTTTTAAAAATTGTTTAAAGCCATCTTCGGTTAAAATTAAAAAAACGTGCGTGCGTACAAAGTACACATGTCAGAAGTGAAACTTCTTTGGAAAACTAATTTTTAACTTTGTTCATATATACGTAGTTTCCCAAAGTTCTTCACTACAATATTTCTACATTTCGAGCAGGTTTTATAAAAAAATTATTGCTTCTATTTTGGAATGTTTGATTATTGTTTTAAAACAAAAAACAATAACTTTCCGTAATTTTTCACGATGGAGTGGACATTGAAAGTAACCGAATGTTGTTATTGCGTTCACCCTGTGGACCTCGCCGAGTCCATTTTCAAGTTGCTCAAAAATTTGAATATCGCTTGGTTTGTGTCGGTCTTTGTAGGTCCTTGAAGTCTCCAGTGTTGAGGACAAGAAAATAACTGGCTTCCACCTCCGCAAGAACACCAGCAGTATCAAAGCTATCAAGGCGCGGATAGTAAGAAATCCTGTCCGAAAACAGAAGTTGTGGTTTGCATGGGTTCATAGGAAAACAGTAAAAGGTTTTAATGAAGTCTTGGTCTCGAGCATCAAAAAGAGTGGGCCTTCTTTGCTCGTCTAAAGCAATAAGGCTTAAGAGTCGCGGGTGTTTGTAAGCGGTACGCGAAAAACCGCCGTGTTCCTCTTTCGGACGAAAAATTTTTCGTATTGAAGAGGTACAATAAACGTTATACGTGTCCTAAGAGTTCTGAAGGCTGAAATAAAGTTCCAAGGGTGCAACATGGACATCATCCATCTCAGTATGGTTTGGTTGGGGTGTCCTATTACGGGCTAACTGAGGTTAATTTTTTCGAAAAGGGGTCAAACCAGTGCTACAGTGTACCAAGAGACGGTTTTGTTCGCCTTGTCAAAGACATGTCCAGCACCCTATTTGCGGGCATCCTTCGTGTTCAGCAGGACTCTGCGTCTCATACAAAGCCAAGACCACTAAGCCTGGTTTGAGCGTCAAAACATCGTCTTAATTAGACATGAGGTTGGCCTTCCTCCAGTCCGGCCTTATCTTTGGACCAGAAATTATGCGGGCTTAGAGAGGAGGTCTGTGATAACCTCATGAAAATTTGGAGAATCTGAAGTCATCTTTAAAAAACCAGTGACTGATGGCCGAATTGGTGCGTGCTGCGATAGACGACTGGCCGCGACGCTTGGGCCTGTATTAAAAATGAGGGGGTTATTTCGAATATTTTTTGCTTTTTTTTCCTTAATTATTTCTAAGTTGATATATCACTCATTACAACTGTCGTCTTTTGTTTTTTCTTTTTCCTTTATGCGACTTTGGGCCGTATACAAATCTAAAACTTTAGATTTCCGAGACGTAGAGGGAGGAAAAAAGGAAGATATGTTAGAAATTTAATTGTTATTAAAATATTAAGTGTCGAAAATTAATACAAATAATAAATTTAATTTTTTAAATTTATTTCATCGATAATACGATTCACGTGGCATTTTAATTTACAACTCGTCATTTAAGATTATTACAACTGATTTATAAAATTATTTTGATTTATTAATTATTATTATTAAAATTATTTTGAATAAAATATAAAATATGTACTTATATTTCAGAAATTCTCTTTAAGAAATTTTAATTTTAAAAATGGGATTTTTAATATAAATAATTAATTTTAAATTTCTATAGGAAAATTCATCACCCTTCTCACTCTCTATCTCACTTTTCTTCGACAAAAACGCTGCACAACTTCGTGACGTTCCGTAAAAAATTTACCCTCATGCGCCTAAAGAAGTTTCACTTCAAAAAAACGTAGTCTGAGCGGGTAATTAAATTAAAAAAAATATTAATTTAATATTCACGACAAAAAACGAAATATGATAACCCTATTCCCACTGTAACGACATCCCTCCAGAGTAGGTAAAAATAAACATTATTCCATAAACACATATAAATCCATATCAATTGGAAATACTATATGTATATTATATAGGCTGGAGGTTTAAGCTAATAACCTGCCTCTTTTCGTCACAGTGTAAACTTTGAAGAAAGGGTCGACAGAGTACTTTAGTTAAAACAGAACAATTAGAGAAGTTTTTATGAATAAAGGGAAGTCTAGTGATATTACATACTTTCATCAATCGTGCTTTTATTTTCTGCATGACTTTCGATGTCCTTAGAGAACCATTCGTTGAATTCGTCGTGCGAATCAAATAATGTTGGCATTATGAAGTGAAGTAACGCCCATAACTCCGCCATACTGTTTTGTATTGGTGTTCCTGTATAGAAATAAATCAAGTTTTAAAATCAAATAAAACAATATAAATATCAGTATATTCAGTCTGTAAATAATGTACAACTAATAAGTTCAAGTTCTAGGTACCACAATAATGAAAAATCCGTGAAAAATACCAATTAAGGAATTTCATCTTTATTCATGTTAAAATAGTAGAAAAGTGTTGGCCTAGTGGCTTCAGCGTGCGACTCTCATCTCAGAGATCGTAGGTTCGATCCCCGGCTGTGCACCAATGCACTATCTTTCTATGTGCGCATTTAACATTCGCTCGAACGGTGAAGGAAAACATCGTGAGGAAAGCGACATGTCTTAGACCCAAAAAGTCGACGGCGTGTGTCAGGCATTGAAGGCTGATCGCCTACTTGCCTATTAGATTGAAAAATGATCATGAAACAGATTCAGAAATCTGAGGCCCAGACCTAATGAGATTGTAGCGCGTGTATTATAATAGTAAGGTATATTTTATAGGTGACAAAACGTATTCAAAGGAAAATGAGAGTAAACGAAAATAGGAAAAACCCTACATTTCTTCTGAGCTAACTAAACTAAAAATACTTCACATTGCTGCTTCATGAGTAGTACAGTAGAAAGTTACCTGACAACAACAGTCGATTCCTGCAGCTGAACCCCAACAATAGCTTCCACCGCATACTCGCTGAACTCTTAATGGCCTGAGCTTCATCCAAAATCATATATTGCCAGGAGACACGGTTCAAATATTTTAAATCCGAAACCACAATTTGATAAGAGGTGATGACCACGTGAAACGCTGCCTGCTGGGTGTGAAGGTCCTTTCGCTCCCAGAACTGCCGAAGAATTTTACGCTCGCTGGGACTGCCCCAGTATGGCACCTGGAGAGAATTCAACAATTGTAACAGTCTTATTTGTAAAGCATATTGTACCTTTGTTTATGATGTTAGTGAATGTTTTATTCTTATATTCTACATTAAAGGGTATATCCATGCATTGGAGTGTATGCTATTGTATAATGAATATTTTTTTTTTAATCATACAAAATTTGGTGTTGTGTATAATAAACAACAAAAAATACAGCAGGGTCACTTTTCGGTAGAGTAAAGAAAAAGTTATGATTTGAAAAAAAAAATATATCGTATAACTTAATATTATCTTCAATACACTCTATAATTAGTATGTCTAACGCAAGAACTCATCAGTACCAATCTATTGAATATTATGTAAAATATACAGGATGTAGATATTTTCGAATTTTAATAAGAATTCGAATAAAAATTAAATTTTCTTATAAAAACACAAAATAAATTATAACTCTGCAGGGGTTGAGCTTAGAGACCTCCCGTAGAACAATTTTTTGCATCTGATGACCTCATCTATCCCCTATTTGCGTTTGATCCACGACTTTTTGACCACCCTGTATATTTGTTTTCTTTTACTTTGTCTTCATTAAATTATGATATAAAAGTTAAGAAGGAACCAACAAACTAGGAGGCAGGCATAAATGTTACTGTACTTAAATAAAATACTTACCACTTTAAAGTCGGGTGCAAATCTCTGCATCTCTTGTTGCCAGTTATGTAATGTGGAAGCAGGAGACACCACCAGAAAAGGTCCCCATACACCAAGTCTTTCAGCCACATGACAAAGGAATGCTATACATTGAACTGTCTTGCCTAAGCCCATTTCGTCTGCTAGAATTCCACTTATGCCCTGAAATATATTGAATTTTTTACATCAAGGTACACCTTATACACGAAAGAAAAATAATACTAAGCCCCACTGGTAATAAGCATACAAATATAAAATAGTATTAATGGGTATTAATCAATACTTTTATACATTCATTATTCATAATAATAAATCATAGTATTGTCTTTTATTGACATAACCTTTACACATTTAAAGAAAACACTTTTTTACCGGAGTTAAGTTATGTATTATTATAAATTTACAATTATTTTACATAATTTTAAATTTAACCGACGTTTCACGTGCTTTACAGCGGGCGTGGTCACGGTAAATAATAAATCAGTTGTATTAAACTGATTTTCTTAAATAATTTAATTTTCTGTCCAAATGTGTCCAAAACCCAAAACGTATTTATTAAAATTAAACAGCATAATTAAAAGGATTTTAAAGCAAATACCTGATCATACAAATTGGCCAGCCAATTCATTCCCTTCAGCTGGTATCCTTTCAACGTCCCTTGAAATATAGCCGGTTGGTCATGATCACCTGGTCTCTCCGTACGACCCGCATCTCCCCCGGCCGCTGCGTCTAAAGCCACTGTACGGGCGCGGTCGGCTCGGAACGCCTCGCGTGCATTTCGAGACGCACGGGCTTTCATTGCCTCGCTATAATTAGGGTTTAAATTTTAAACTTACTATAGAAGCATATTCTTTTCTAATAAAATTAAACCGCATGGCTGGAACTTTTATACTTTATGAACATAATGTTAATAATAATAAAAAAACATTTGATTGGTACATTTCATTAACCTATTTCATTTACCTTGTAGTTAAATTGTTTGTTACTATAAAATAATGTATTATTGTATTACATGCTTACAAAAAATTATTGTAAGGCACCCACCAACAAACTACCAGTATACAGAAAAAATATGTTTTTAATTTAAACTCACTATTATTCGCTACGGAATTAAGGTTTTACATAAGGAAAATTTAATGATGTTGGCATCACCAAAACTAAAATGTTTGGTCCAAGAGAAGGTCGACAAAGAAAAGAAACGTCGTAACAAGGCATTAAGTAATAAGCAACTTACCTATCGTAATTATCAATCGAGGCGAGTCTTGGATCTCTATCTTCGTCCAAATGCCTCAATATTCTGTCAGCCCCGTAGTCTCCTTCTTCAATTGCGTTTAACTTGCGTTGCATAAAGTGCGCATACAGTTCCGTTTGAGTAATGAGGAAATTAAGTTTGCGACGTTGCCGCTTCGCTTCCATTAGTTCTACGTCCATCTAGAATAATAAAATGTGATAAGTATGAAAATAATATATTGGGAACTAGACTTACTCACTTACTTGACTTACAGGTACTCTATACTCGCCCCAAAGGGTTTAAATGAAGCACCTAAAATATTATCTTCTAAATCTATTAATTTTGGAATATGAGGCAAAAACAATGTTGTCTGTGTCATGATAATATAATTTTATAGGCTGTTCTTTGTATGCCAAACACAATCAACGATTTCCTCGCAAAGCTAGTATTATTTGCGTTCATGGAAATAATAATGCCCAATATAACCGTAATCCTATTATAAGCTTATATGTAATACAAAAGATCATAATTGAAGATTGTGAAATATCCAGAAGATTGTAAAGATTGAAGAAAATAAATATATGTATATGTCAAACTTTGTTAATGAGATAACGATTGCATGCAAAGTCTACTTACAAATAAAAAATACCTTTCTCTGTTCCTCAGCCTCTCTTTCCATCCTTCGTCTAGTTTCCCTCTCAGCGCGGTCATATCGCCGCCAATAACCCTGCATCTCTCGACTCAACCGTTTGCAACGCCATACTGTTTCCTTCATGTTCTTCTGAGACTGATTTTAACAAAATATATTCATTATACTATTGGACACATTTAGTTGTAATAGTACCAAGATTGGGTGATGCGTGTTTATTTTTAAGCACTTAGTTAAGATAATAGAGTAATAATTTATATAGTAATAATAATATATAGTACAAACATATTACTTGCTGATTATGTAGGCTGCCGATTAAATAATCTAATAGTATTCATCTGTTTATAGCTTCACATCAAACAATTTTTTATATATAATATGAGTGGATGAACAAAGCAAATGTTTTATTACCTGCATTGCAACATGTCTCCAATGTTTACTGCATAATGTTGCCAACCTCTTTCTTTGCAATGTCACCTCTCTGTGTGTCGCCGTTCTCGCTCTCTGCACTTTCCCTAACTCTTTCTTTACTAGCAGGAACCAATGTCGCTTCCGTCTCGCTGTTAATGCTTCTGGACTCTTTGCCATTAACGCTTTCTTTCGGCCTCTGAGGAAATTGTTATATCACATTTTTTATTTAAAAAGTATCTGTTTAAGAGTAACAGACTTATAAGCAGAGGCAAGTCTACCTTGTACACACACTAGTGTAATAGAATTTAAGCCAAAACAAAATTTTATTTTTTATTAAATACTATATACTACTTGTTCCTGAGGCATGGGGGAAATCTCTTATCTGCATCAGCTTCATTCAATTGTTTCTTATACGAATACAAGTGTATTTTAGGCTCTTTCCATGGGGATGACAGACTCATAGTTCCGAAGTCTTTAATCAATATTAGAATAAAGAAAAGGCGTTACCTGACACTAGATTTTTCTGCTATTATTAATTCATCGCTCAGCTCATTTTCTTCTTTGATGTTCTTTAAGTGATCTTCCCAATCCACTCCATCAGGCTAAAATAAAATTTTAACTCATTTAATTTAATTTTTAACCAAATCCAAATTGGTTTTAATGCCTATTTCGCTTAATGTCTGCAATTTTGTCAAAATCATAAAAAATATTTTTATAGTAGAATCAGGCAAAAAAACAAACAAAATCAGCAATTGTGTAAATAACTCATGCAACTTTACATTTAAAGTCTAAGACTGAACTAATGTCCACAAAATAATAATATATGGTTTTATTTGTATACTCACAGCATCATTTCCACTTTCTGTTATATGTCCATCTTTTGTTTTTGTCTTTTTAGATTTTTGTATGTTTCTAGGAACACCCTTATCAGAGGGTCGGCCTCTCCGTCCTCTGGTGGAGGCTGGAGGAGGCCTGTTTATTCTCCTCTCCGGGTATCTGTCCATGGTTGATAGCAAGCCAGCCCCATAATACATGTATCGAGAATTCTGAAACCAAAAAAATATAGTACCTTTGACTGCTAGTCATCATTATCATTTTAAAATACTTGTGCTTGATGTGTTACTTAATTATTTTTAAACTAGGACAAATCTTATTAAATTTTAATGTTGATTGACACAAATTATTCTTCATATACCCAGAGCATGCAACAATTGCATTTTTATACATTGTATTAATTTAAATTAAAACTTACACCGGGATCCTTATAATAAGATCTAACATATTTGTTATGAAACTTTCTCTCTTTGAGAAGGTATTTAATTCTAGTCTCTTTTGCTGCTAAGGTGTCATCATCACTGCTAGATTCGGACTCTGTTGATAATAACACATCTCGAAGCCACTCCCTCTCTTCTCCAACTGATGACAGATTGTAGAGACGAGCCCGATCACTTTGGCGTTCTGTAAAATATTAGAATATTTACACAAGTACTGTAAAAGTGTACAGTTAGATACTATGTAGTAATAACTTTTGCCTTTACTTTTGTTAGTTATGATAATAAAATTTTATAAACAATTTCAATAATGCTGGAGCATAAAAGACTAAATATTTTTAAGGAACTAAAAAAATGATCTAAATTATATTAGCTCCTTATTGAAAAATCAAATTTATGAATGTTTCCAGTTAGTTTATTTATACCTTGTTTAGTAGTCACTACACCATTCATCAACTTATCCCCTTTAGAGATTTCATTACCAACTGATAGAACATCGGAGTCATCCCCACTATCACTAACACCATCAGAATTTAATATTCTTTCAACTTGGCTAACAAACGGCCTGATATCTAAGGCGGCTTCCAAACGTTGTACATATATAGGTCGAGCGATTTCATGTCTCTTCAACACGGTCTTTCCCACAACAGCCTTTTCAGTCATTTCAACTTCTGCAATTACGAGTGTTCTTAATGTTGATAACCTAGTATGTGACCGTTTTCAAAGACGAGGCCACTTAATTATTAAAAAATTATGCAGAATCGTAGCTAAATACTGTCGTAGTTTAAAAAGTAAGGGAGGTGGTGGTTTAGTATGTGAATTGCATGATAAGTTGGAAACTTTTGCCTACATCAAAATTGATTTGCCTCAACGTGATATCACGTCGATTACTTAACACAAAATTCCACAAGATTCACAAAATGGCGAACAAGAATATTCGACAAATTGCTGTCACTGTCGCCGCCCAAGCGGCGCACATAGATATTCATTTCGTATTCGATCTTGAAAAAACACGGACCCGCCATAACGCCGAAACTTTAATTTGACAAATGACAATCAGCCATTTCTTATTCTTGGTTTTCATTGGCTGTTATTGGATTTGACGTTAATTCTACCTATAAAAATAGATAGACTTAGCAACAAAACCAATAAGAAAGGAAAACCTATCAGAAATTAATATGATATTCGTTCGAAAATTAAATTGTTTCGTCAAGAAAGGATTTTTGATCATATTATAACTAATATGATAATAAAAATATTCAACTTCTAATTATGTTCATAAACATGATTAGTAATTTATAATTTAATATGTAAACAGTAATTTTTGTATTTTTATCATAGAACAGGGTGCAAACGGGCATGATGATCACCTGATATTTAATGATACTGCCGCCCATGGGCACTCACAATGCCAGAAGGCTCGCAAGTGCGTTGTCGGCCTTTTGCAAATTGGTACGCACTTTTATTTAAGGAATCTAAATAGGCTAACATTTTAAAAATAGTTATTTTGTTCAAAGTTGTACTGTTAGTGCTGTAATTCTTTTTTTTTCTTAAGTCGATAAACTTATTCGGACCTATTATAAAGCGAAGATTATACTTAAGGCTTTTAAAGTTGAGGTTGTTTTTTATATATAAAAATAAACAACCAATAGTAACTAAAACGTAAAACATAAGTGTCAAAATATTCCTTTGGTCTTACTTCATGACGGCTACATTAATTATTGTCGTGGCAATTAGTAATAACATCACTTATGTGGTCATTGTTTTTACTCAGTCTGGTTTCACAAGGAGGAGGATTTGGGGAGCTAAACTACAAAAGGCGTTTAGATTATTGGCGTGTTTTAAAAAAAAACTATCGTGAAATGAAAGAAATTTGGCGTCAGAAAATGTCTGCGTCTGCGCTCTGTGAGATGAGCATAACTGTGCTTCAACAAATATTCCAATGTCGCCAATAGGACATAAAAATACACATGTATAATTGAATCTCACTACTAAAATATCAAGACATAAAAAAGGTCAAATGATTGCATCCTAAATATAATTTTATAAGAAAATTCATCTTAAAAATTGTAATTGCAGGCAGTAATCGTATTTAATATAATAGCTATAATAAATCATATAAAATGTATTATGTCAAATGTTTATCGATAGTCGTAAGTCTTCAGGGGTCGTCTCTAGAAATGCCAAGCGCCAGTTTTACCAACAATAAGTGAGCAAAATTGATGGATGATTCCACAAAATGAAACTATTTTGAGAAATATTGATTTCTCTTATTTGACATATCTTAAATCTAAATATAGACAATTGTTTATGTTGTGACCGCAAACTAATAAAATAAATTAAACTAAATAGCTTCTACTTAAATAAAAAAATGATTTGACAGCTCCTTTCATATCCGCAATATTGCTTGTACTACTCGAATCCAAAATGGTGGAAGTTTGTTGTGCTTGGTAATTTGTTTAAATTATTGTGTGTTCGTAAGTAAATCCGATATAAATATTATCACATACGGTATTATAATATCTCTCCTGTGGTTAATTATTTTAATGTTAATGTATTGCACTTTGAATAACAATATGGAATGATACCAACAATGACAGCACCGCACTCAATCATAAAACTCTTAAAAATTAGTTTATTTATTTTATTTTATAAAGTTTAAAATTATAAACTTATCAAAAAAACATTTTTATGTCTCGTTATTAAATAGTTAAATTTCACATATAAATTTTTATATATGACCAATAAGCGCGGGATTTGTATCGTAAAATCAACAACAATCACAAATATATGCATTTGTATTAGAAGGTTTTCCTGTTACATCTAAAACAAAACATCTAATATGTACATTTAAATAAAATGCATTATCTTGTAAGCCTAAACAATAATTATATTCTTTTCAATTTTAACATAACCTACAAACCCGGCGGGTGCGGTACAGGAATAAATGTTTTATTTTTTTTTCAGATGCAGGAGATGTGGCATTGAGTAATATATGTCTATAATAGGTGTATAATGGATGAAAAGGAAGAAGTTGCCGAAAGTTCCTCTGAGGTGGAGAAGGATGCTTCTACAGAGGAAACACAAAAAGTAGATGACCTGAAGAAAGAAACAGATAAAGCACCTGAAAAAAGTGATGATAAAACTTATACTGTTAGTGAATTAGAAAATAATGAACCTAATAGCAAAAGTATTGAATCAAATGACAGTAATGATATTCAAAGTACTGTATACAATAAACATAATGAAGTTGTGAAAAGTGATGATATTCAGAGTACTGTGCCGAACATAGGTGAGGAAGTTGTTGAGAGTGATGATATTTTAAGGCCTGTTCCCAACAAATTTGACGAACTCATTGAGAGTGATGATTGTAGAAATTCTGTAGCTAACATATGTGATGAACACATCAAGAGTGATGATTTTCAAAATGTTGTAGCTAACAAATGTGATGGAAGCATAAAAAGTGATGATAGTCAAATTTCTGAACCAATTTGTACTGGTGATAGTCAAAGTTCTGACCCCATTGCTAGTGAAGGCCAAATTTCTGAACCGATCAGTAATAGTGAATCTAAACCTGATGAACCTAATGTTATTGTTGATAAAGGTGAAGACCCTATTCCTAAAGAAGAATCTATTCCTAGTGATGAACCCATTCCAATTGAAGGTGTTAATTCACCCAGTATATGTGAAAATATACAAGATCAAGATTCAGAACCTGAAAAGAAAGTAAGTGAAGAGTCAAAAATTACTGATGAAAGTGACATTAATAAAGTTGAAAGTGAACAAAATGTAGAAGAAAATGATAAAGATGAATTAAAAGGTAAGCAAATATAATTATCATTTCCTTTAAGATATTCCAATTAAATTAGTGTGTAACAAATAATTTTACCACTATAAAATTTTGTTCCATCTATTTTACCCTTGTATTTTAAATTAAAATGGAACCAGTTAAATAAAATAAATAAAATAAAAATAAAAAATATGCTCTAAATCATTAATCATATTATACAAAGTATATACAGAATCAATAAAATTGGTATTGATGTTAAAAATTGTTTATATATATCAATTGTTTTGACAACATAATATGTATAGGTAGAAATCCATATAGATTGCTGTCCATATAGTATGCATCATATATCAAATTAATATATTTGATAATTTTATAGAAATAGTCAATGAAATATCTGAAAAAGATTTAGAGTCTGCTGGTCCAAGTACAGAAGACACGAATCAAGATATAGACGAGACTAATCAAGATTCACTAACAGAAGTGTCTGAAACCAGTCAAGATAAGGTTCAGAAACCACAATTTGAAACCGCACCAAATGTTTCCATAGATGACTCGCAGGATGACCATACAGAGGTAAAATTTTATGCTATTTCTGGCTTTGTTTAGAGTTGTAGTTAATTATGGTTTATAGCTCTGCTACAGTAACACAGATGACTTGTAGCAATTTCAACTGGAATTAAGATTAAAAAGCTGAACTGATTTTAAAGACCTACTTATATTTTTTTGTATCCTTTTCCTTTATTTTCTAACTTTATACTAAAAATAGGATAGTAAAGTGTTTAGTGATAGTAAAGAAGTTACATAAACTTTTCAATGGAACCATCAAACTTTTCAATAGTAACTTAATTTGATCTAGTAAAAAAAATTAAAATACAGGATTGCATCTGTCCACTGTCCAAGTGAACACACAATTTTTTTGCCTTTTTTATCTTATACATATATCTTACATTGTAAAGAAATAACTTCTTTCATTAATAAAAAAATCTGAGCTAAATAAAATTTTACATTAGTTATCGGGTTATTCAAAATATAGCTAAGCTAAAGTCAATGCTACCTGGAGGACCAAGAAAGCTTATTAATTGTTTATAATTTCAGGCACTTGATCCCTTTGATGCCTTGTTAAAGGACACCAATGACCCTCCAGCTGAAACAAGTACACAAACTGTTGATGCATCTGTAAACATTGATGATGATGATGATCACAATGTTGATAATCACATTGAGACTGTTGACGGTGAAGATGATCACCAACCTGGTGAGTTTAATTTCGCAGCTTTTTATATTAACTCTTATAATCAAAGTCATAAAATGTGATAAAAGCCAAGAGGCTGATTGCAGATGGCTGTAGGAATATAAAAATACTTATAGTCTAGATACTTGATTGTCTTTCTAAAAGGCTGACTTAAATCTTCACAATTTTTCAATGTAAATTTAGTTACTTTTTGGTAAGTAAATATATAAATATGATAATATAGAGATTTTAAATCTATAGTATAAGTAAATAAAAATACTTTAAAAAAACCAAAATATTTTTTAACCAAACATGTAGGTCTTGGTTGATAGTTTTAGTCCTTAGATTAAGATTTAGAGTCCACAATTAAGACATAGTAACACTTCCATATGTCTAGTCCAATAATTGTCCTTACATATGAAAAGGTTTAGAATTAGAATCTCAATCTTAGTTCCTTAATTTTTTTTTTACTTGTTTTTAGATTAAATGCTTCTCAGTATATAAAGGTTGTCTTTTTCTTTTTAAATATTAGATGATTCAGATCATGCTGAACCAGGCGCGGATGAAGAGGTGTGCTTGCTGCCCGACACTGAGAGAGAAATCTCTGAAGCAGACAAACAGGAGGCAGAAAAGGCATTG